TTGGCCTAGACATTTAACTCCCAACGACATAAGGAGTTTCTTGGGGCCAGCAGTGTAATATAGAAGGTTTGTCGATGGTTTTCCCTCTATTGCATCTCCTTTACATCATTAACCCAAAAGTAGGTCAAGTGTGAGTGATCAGAGGTTCTTGAAAGAAGCTTACATGAGTTGAAAATTAATCTAAGCTATGCTACGATATTGACTTTATCGGAGGGTACCAAGGGTTTATATTGTATTCTAATGCTTCTAGAGTAGTTTTGGGTTGTGTCTTCACTTAACATTGTAAGGTGATAGCTTATGCTTCTAAGAAACTCAAGGAGCATGAGAAAAACTATCCAACTCATGATCTTGAATTGGCGGCCGTGGTATTTGCCTTGAAAATGTGGAGGCCTTATCTTTATACGGTACATGTGAATGTGGCCAACGTGGTTGTGGATACACTAAGTTGTATGACAATGATTAGTTTTTTCATGTATAAGAAGCTAAGAAAGACCTAGAGAGAGTTGTTTATAGGTTGACTGGTTTGGGTGTTCGGCTAGAAGATTCTCCAATTGGTAGTTTGGTGGTCCATCATATCTCGGAATCGTATTTAGTGATTGAGGTGAAGTCTAAGCAATATCTTGATCCATTATTTATGGAGTTGAAGGAATAGGTTCTTGGTAAGTTTAGTGAGTCATTCTCCCAATGAGAGGATAAGGTGATTAGGTACCAAGGAAGGTTATGTGTTTTGGATGTTGATGATTTGAGAAACATAATTTTGGAGTAAGATCATAATTCCCGATATTCTATTCGGTTGATTGCCATCAAAATGTAATGTGAGCTTCAAGATATCTATTGGTGTGATAAAGTGAAAAGGGACATAGCGGGGTTTCTGGCTAGGTTCCGTAATTGTCAACAAGTAAAAGCCGAGCATCAAAAGTCGGGTGCCTTGACTCAAGTTATAAATGTGCCGACATGGAAGTGGGAACACATTAACATGGACTTCGTAGTGGGTTTGCTCGGACATAAATACAAAATGAATCAATATGGGTTATTGTTGACAGGTTTACGAAATATGCTCCCTTTATCCCCGTTAATTATACTTGTTCAGCAAAAGTTTATGCTAGAATATGCATTAACAAGATTATCAGTCTGCATGGGATTCCGTTGTCCATAATATTTGTTTTAGTCAAAAAAGGGAAAAACATTTGTTTTTGAAGAGTTTCCATCTTTTTAAAGAGTCGCCACTTAAATTTAAAGAAAATTAAGAAAAACTGTTGTTTTCAAATAACTTAACAGAGAAAATCATTTCAAAACCATTTGAAGGGTTAGGGGATTCATATTTATGTTTTATGAATGTGTTAAGTACCTAAACATCCGCTTGATGCGGTTTTCCGACAACTAAGTTAGTTGGAAAAACATTTTGTCTAACTTGACTTTTTGAGTTTTGAGAATTTATTATATACTGTTTGAAATGGATTTAGTTTTCATCTTAAATGAAACATCTAGCTGAAAATTATTATCTTAAACTCGTTTAAACATGACCCAACATTAAATTGCTAAAATATTTCGATGCTTTACGGGGATTGGATTCTTTTAACTTTAAAACTAATAGCACATAAATATAAGCAAGTATACGACATGGCAAAGAGAGAGAGAGAGATTGGGTCCAAGTACGGGTTTTCTGCACGCCTTGACAAGATTTCGGACAACATATTTACGGGGGCCCACATTCTTTCGGGTTTTCAACCCATTTGCTTTTGTAGCTGTCCTAGTCTAAACAAATGATAATACAAAGTAAATGTAGAAAATTAGAAAACGACAACGACTTAGGCCTATTACAAACAAAAATGCAAAATTGTAAAATAAAATCTTGTATCAAAATCTCCCGCTCCCTTTTTTGCTTCAAAATATCAAACTACCAAATCCGCTCGTCGGTTTTCTGAGTTGACTGGATGTAGGGATTAGAGACTTTAAATCTCTTACATAAAATGAAGGAAGGGAGAGAGTTCATGAACTTGGATAAATATCACATGCAACAAAAAATGATGATGATTAGCATATAAGAAATGAAGCAGACGAGGTATAACTAGGATAAAATGGCTTTTGATTAATACTAGGGCCATTGAAGCAATTCAAATTGAGCTATGCATGTGACTAGGGAAAACTGAATGAACCAAACAAAATATATAGAGTCAAAAGGGAAAATCACGATATTTGGCGGTACTGCCATATGCACACATATACACCTGATGAGCGAATTGCCTTCCACGAAAGTGCAGCCAATAACGAAGGAGAAAAGGAAATGCATGGTTAGCAGACAAATAATCCCATGGTTAGCAGACAAATAATGCAAGGGGATTATACAATTTTCACCTCAAACTCATAGGGCTACACGTAATCAGTTTAGAGATATACCTCTAAGACGAAAATGATTATTGATTTTATATTTAAGAAGAACAAAATAAAATCTTTATTAAAAAATTTGTATAAACAAGCACTACCTTAAACTAAAAGAATAAAACTAATTTAAATGAGGGAACTGATAACACAATATCAACAGTCTTTCACGGTTTCCTTAAGACAATATGGCCATAAGTTTAAAAAATACATGATGAAACAAATGCAGACGAACAAATTCCAATTTGTATGTGTTTCCAAATAGGCTAGTCTAAAACTCATACTTAAAACTTACAAGAGCATAGAACATTTGATTCCCCCGCTACTACTAATTTGGGATGAATATGATTTGGCCGAAGGGAAATAACTAACAAAAGTCCAAAATTGATTTATTCAAAAGGATTAAAATTAACCGGTAACTAAATAAACTGAATTAATACAAATTAATTAAACAAGCTTCTTAATTTTAACGAAATAAATAATCGGGGTGAAAATCTAATTATTTCAATCGTTTGAGAGTTAGAAAGCTCGTGAAATAATTTTGTCGGAGAGGGTTAAAATTGGATGTCAACAATTGTTCCTCATTTTACTCGGATTGATGCAAAAATGCGAGGAAAATGAAATTGACCTATCAAATTTTGACCGACCACAAATTAACCTTTAGGAAAGGGTTCGTACGGAATTTAGGAATTTTGGTCGAACTCCGGGAGTTTCCTATGCATCTCAGGCTATATGACAATTGATGCCAGTTGTAGTTCAACATGCCCAATTCAACACGCGATTTTGAAAAAGTGCAAAGCCATCTCCATACCAAATTATGAAGGGATAAAAATGTTCGAGAATAGGATTTAAGAGCGAATGTTGGAATACAACCGAGTTTTCCAGTTTGAGCTCGACTACATATCCTTAACCATAGGAATCAGGCTGCCTATAGTTCGATTCAATCGATTGAAAATAAAACCTATTATGCTAGATAATCATTGGTTACGGACAAGTGACAAATCAATTGAGTATGAAAAACTGGTTTGTAACCTCTTAGACATGAATGTGGTGCACTTCACACCCATAATTAAGAACTACTACGGACCTAATTTCCAAGGCTCTTGGTTCATTGTCACTCGGTTTGGGAATTTTCTTCCGGCAGATTGAAATTACCGGATGAAAGACCAAAACGGACAAAACTAAAGAACCCACATGCCTTCTGATAGGGGTGTGGTTTGATTGTAGTGTAATTCTCTCCTCTGCTCACGTCCTAAGAGTTTGAAATTTCTCTTCGGACTATGTCCCAGTTCACTGCTAAGAAAAGTTCCACGTTGTGTTGCATCCCTTTTGATGTCGTCTGCACCTACATGTTGATCGATAGTAAATTAAATGACCACTCCGGGTAATGCATAATATCATATCTGATGCTATAATGCAAATGACGACGTTTACGGAACACATAAACTCTTCCTTGAAATTTTCACTTGATTCACCTTCGAATCTAGTTGGACTTTCTTCATAAATTTTAAGGTTGTCAGAAATTAATTGAAATAAAAAATTCATATTCCCATGTTTCAGATATAAACTATATAAAATGATTCTTGCTTCTTTGAAAAATATTGATTTTGGGATAGTTCTCTCCTCCTTTGACCTCTCCATATTCATCTATCGGAAGAATTTGGTAATTTTATAGCAAAGTTATAAACCTGCGTCCACAGAAAAATTGTTAGTTTTAAATACGAACTGATCTGTGTTGATTTCTTCAGTTGTCTTCTCCTTGTCCTGCTATCTCCGATTGATTTCCCGATCTCCTAACTCTTTATAGATGAGACAAAATATATAAAGCCAAAGCAAATGAAATGTAAAGAGAAGAAATTTTAGAAAAATATATTTTTGAGAAATAGTTTCTGAAAAAAAATGTTATTGCCATGTCATGTCATATCAAGCTTAACAAACTTCTTTGAGCCTGCTGCTTGGAGGTCTATCGTATTATTCGTTGGGGAGTTTCTAGAGTCACTACGGACTTGTAGATGCACCCATGATGAAATTTTGAGACCATCCTCAAAAATTCTGTCCAAGTTAACTGTCTTACCTCTCATTCCACAATAACTTAGTAGATTGTTCAATTTTTGAGGTCTTCTCAAAAATTCAGTCCCCGTTGCAAATCTCAAAGTACCTCTAGTCTTTACTTGCTGAGGAATCGTCTTCTTCTCGACAATTTTTGAGTTCCTCTCTGAAATTCAGTACCAGTTTCTATTGTGAAGAGGAATAGAAATCTTACGGGAGGTATGACCAACCCTTGTGGCGCCTAGTATCTCATTATGGAAGGAATAAGGTAAAATGTAGTTCCCCTCCTCAAAGGTTGACAAAATAAGAAAAATTACAAAGAAACCGACCGAGGCCGACATAGGCCGCCTACGTATCTCATTTTTGATAATTCAGGTTGAATGTAGTTCATAAAAAGAAATACATAGAAGGGATAAATGGTGTGACCGAGGCCATTACAGGCCGCCTACGTATCTCATTGTTGAGAATTCAGGCTAGACATAGTTCATTACAAGAGGGATAAGAATTGAAGCAAAACAAATACAAGCAAACAGAATGATTACAAGTAAGTAACAGAAATGCAAATGGAAACTTCACATGTAGTATCTCTTGATATCATCTAAGTTGATTTGTTTTGGCCATAAAGTTCCATCCATCTCTGACAGGACCAAAGCACCTCCAGATAATACTTTACGAACCATGTAAGGACCTTGCAAGTTTGGTGTGAACTTTTCTCTGTACTCGTCTTGATGATGACAAATACGCTTAAAAACAAACTGGCCTACTTCAAAAATTCTGGCTCTTACTCTATTTTGAAAGACACAAACCATTCTCTTCCTATATAATTGACACTGACAGATGGAAACTATTCTCTTCTCATCAATCAATGTTAGTTGATAAATTTGCTTGCTGACCCGTTTAGCTTTACTTAACTCAGCTTCTTGGATGATTCTCAAAGATGGTATCTGGACTTCAGCAGGTATGACTGCTTTTGTCCCACACACTAGAAAATATGGAGTTGCTCCAATTGATGTTTTGACAGTCGTGCGGTAACCCAATAAAAGATATCACAACATCTCTTGCCAACCTCGGTGATTATCAATCATCTTCCTCAGAATCTTCTTGATATTCTTATGGGCGGCCTCTACAACTCCATTCATTTGGGAACACTAAGCAGTTGAATTCCGTTAAGTGACCTTAAATTGTTCACAAATATCTCTTATCAGGTGTTTGTTGAGATTCGCACCATTATAAGTAATGATGGATTCTTGTACTCTAAACCTGTATATCAAATTGTTACGAACAAAATCAGCCACAACTTTCTTGGTTACCGACATATAAGAAGTTCCTTCCACCTACTTTGTGAAATAATCAATAGCAACCAAAATGAATGTGTGCTCATCAGAAGCGGTTGGTTCTATTGGAATGATGACATCCATACCCCAAGCTACTAATGGCCATGGTGAACATATAGCATTTAGTTCGTGAGGTGGGACTTTGATCAAATCACCTTGCACTTGACATTTATGGAATTTTTTCACAAACATGCAACAATCATTCTCTATGGTCATCCAAAAATATCAGGCTCGAAGGACCTTTCTTGCAAAAGTGAGCCCATTCATATGCGTGCTACAAACTCCTGCATGTATCTATTCAATAAGCTTCAACTGCATCAACACACCTTAGAAGAACGAAATCTGGAGTCAACCTATAAAGAATTTATCAAATTAGAAATAAATTGAGAACCATACGATGTATCAAATTCTTCTGATTTTATTAGCATCTTCGGGATAAGTTCCAAGATCAAAGTACTTATTTACATCAAAATACCAACGCAAACCGTCTGGTTCTACTTCAACATGGGAACAATGGACTGGATGTTCTTTCAACTCTATATCCAAAGGATCAATATAATTTGTATCCGGATGCTTAATGATCGAAGCGATTGTGGCAAGAGCATCAGCCAATTCACTATGTATTCTGGGAGTATGTTTGAACTTAATCATATGAAATCTCTTGAAAAACTTTTGTACATACTGTACCTAGGGTATAATCTTCGGTTTATTCATAGCCCATTCTCCTTGAACATGATTAATAAAAAGGTCTGAATCTACAATAACCAACAATTCGTAGACACTCATGTCGATAGCCATTTTCAAACCAAGAATACACGCTTAATATTTGGCCATGAAATTCGTGGAACTAAATCGGAGCTTAGCCTCTATTGGATAGTGGTGACCAGATTCTGACACTACAACTGCTCCAATACCTCTAGCTTGATCATTTGCCGCTCCATCAAAGAATAATCTCCAACCTGGATAAGCCTCAGAAATATCCTCACCTACAAATGACACTTCTTCGTCATTGAAATAAATCATAAGTGATTCATACTCTTCATCAACGAGATTTTCTGCTAGATGATCAGCCAAAGCTTGTGCCTTTATTTCCTTTTGAATCACATACACTATATCAAACTCGCTCAACAACATTTTCAATTTAGCTTACATTCCGATCTTCATCGCTTTCTGGAAAATATACTTCAATGGATCCACTCTGGAATTGAGATATGTAGTATAGGAAGACAAATAGTGTCTCAACTTCTAGGAAAGCCACGTCAATGCACATCACTTTCTCTCAAACAAAGTGTCAAGAGACTCGTATGGAGTAATTTTTTTATTATATAATAGATAGCTCTTTCCTTCTTTTCTGTCTCTTCGTGTTGACCAAGTACACATTCGAAATACACTATCTGAAACTGTCAATTACAACAACAAAGGACTCCCTTCCCGCAGAGGAACCAATACCGGTGGATTGGACAAGAAGTTCTTGATAACATCAAAAGTTGTCTGACACTCTTCAGTCCACTTTGTCGGGGCGTCTTTCTTCAACAGCTTGAAAATAGTCTCATATACGACGGTTTATTGAGCTATGAATAGATTGATGTAGTTTAACCTCCATAAGAAACTCATCACCTCTTTACTCGTCTTCGGTGCAGGTAACTCTTGAATTACTTTAATCGTAAAGGGTCGAGCTCAATATCCATTCTACTGAGTATAAATCCCAATAACTTTCTATCTAGAACTCCAAAGGCGCATTTGGCAGTATTTAACTTCAAGTTGTAACAACGCAAATGATCAAAGATTTTTCTTAGATGTTCCAAGTTATGCTAATTCTCACGAGAATTGATTATGAATCCATCCATATACACTTCAATCTCCTTATGATCATCTCGTGAAATATGGCGTCATAGCTCTCATGTAGGTGGCACCATCATTCTTGAGGCCAAGTGACATCACTCTGTAATGATATACACCCAAGGTGTAATGAAAGCCGTCATTTCCACATCTTTCTCATCCATCAGAATTTTGTGATAGCCTGCATAACAAACCACAAATGACTGAATTTCATGCTTAACACAATTTTCAACCAAAATATGAATATTCAGCGTTGGAAAATTATCCTTTGGTCTAGCTTTGTTACGATCTTTGTGGTTGGAACAAATAGTGATTTTCCCGTTGTTCTTGGAAACTGGAACAACGTTGGCTAACCAAGTTTTGAATTGTGTCACTTCCATTAATTGGGACTCTATCTTCTTGGTGATCTCTTCCTTAATCTTTAAATTCAATTCAACCTTGAATTTCTGAGTTTTTTGTTTCACCTGGTCAAACCCCGGGTTAATCGGCAGCTTATGAAATACGACATCGTTACTCAACCCTTGCATGTCACCGACTTCCCAAATGAACACATCAATATATTCAGTAAGTAAATGAATTAGGCCCTCTATCTGAGCTTCATTTAGGTGGATGATGATCTTAATTTCTTTAACACACTCTGAATCTTCCAAATTTACCATTTCCGTTTCCTCTAGATTTTGTTTATGCTGATTCTCAAACTGCCTAAATTCCTCGGCAACATAATCTGGTTCGTCACTTTCTTCTTCGTAATCATAAGCCTCATCATTATCAATTCCATTTTGTTCATTTAGATTGTGACATGACATGACATTGGCAGGTCTAAAATCATGTTACTGAAATCACAAACCGACAAAGTTAGGAAAGTAAAGTATAAGAAACGACTAAATAAATAGAGGTAAAAAAAGAGGCTTTCATTGAAAACTTAAATAATGCAAACTTTCAAAATATTATAGGGCCATGTTACCATCTTTGAACATCATAATAAAAAGTAAAAAATTTGAGCAGTTAAGAATGTGCAAAATGGTGAGTCTCGGGTCTCTTTCAGACTACCACCGATTTTAATGTGCATAAAATAATGCTTTTCTATCGAAGACATCGGGGTATCTGGATTGGCATTGAGGTCTAGTTCCACAGCACCTCCCCTTTCTCAGCAGCGCGGATACCAGCTACCTCGAGCTCTTCCTCAACAACAGCATTGATATCATCGAAGAGGTAAGGGATTCCTTCCCTAAGGTCTTCATGCTCGACATACTCTCGGATTAGAGAGGATTGATACAGATCTGGGATCGGCTTAGCCAATGCTTGACCATTTTTCTTCTTCATCTTCATGTCGTAATCTGTGGGGATGTACCTTAAACTGTATCTGGATCCCTTAACGAGGACAGGAACAGGCTCAGTAATTCCTTGGGAATCTCTTCCTAATCTAAAACCTGGCTCAAAAGCATTCTGTAGCATCATAGTGACTATCATCTTGTACACGACAGGCATGGGGTTTTGTGGGGACAAGTCGTCACTGGTGGTATTCACTAGCTCCACCATGTAGAAGTCTGTACCTCGCGATATCTCATCAATGATCGGCTTCTATCTGCCAGAAAAACTCCCCTCGCCATGAATAATGACCTTTTCATTCTCTGACATGAGTTTCATCATCTGATGGAGAGTAGAGGGGACGGCTCCAGCAATATGGATGAATGGACTTTCAAGAAGAAGGTTTTAGCTGCTATTGATATACAATAGTTGTTTTTCTCCATTTTCCCAAGGTCAAACCTTAGCTGCCTAAACGTCGAAAACGGGCAGATATTCAGACCAGATCCATCATCTACTAAGATGCGGTTGACAACCTTTTTGCGACATACCACAATGATGTGCAACGCCCTGCTTTGTGACCTCCCATTAAAAGGCAGCTCAACGTCACAAAAGTTTATTCGGTTCCCTGGAATAACATGGTGAATCATGGCAGCCACGTTATCGCTACTTGTGCCAGTGGGCACGTACGTATCATCGAGAGCCTTCATTAAAACCTGCCTGTTGGCTTGAGAGCTCATCAACACGGCCCATACAAAGATCAGAGCTGGAGTCTTTTCTAAATGCCTGACGATAGAATTATCTTTTGGATGTATTCTACGGTAGAATTTCTCCGCTTCTCCTTTGCTTATCGGCCTTTTAACCTGATCCTTCTTCTGTCCTCCGAGATCAAGTTCGTCAATAGTGTAACATCTTCCAGACATGGTCATGCCTTGAGCAGCTGCAGTTTCTGTAAAAAACTTAGGCTTGATGAGAGTTTCTGACGGCACCAAAGTAACAGCCTTTGCAGGTGTCAAAATAATAAAGTCTCTCTTCTCTTTGATGCTTAAAGAAGCAACAACCCTTTCTAAATCATCGTGAACTATGGGAGATATCATTTTGGTTCCACACCAGTCTTTGTCTGTCTCGATCATATTGACATTGCCGCCCCATGATTCGGTAACAGGTTGGTGTTGACATTCGGTGCCACATGTTGGAGAGAGACTACCTCTTGATCAATAAAATCCTGAATTTTTTGTTTGAGATTGATAAAATCTTCAGTATAATGCCCAACATTGTTGGAATTATAAGCACATATCTTATCGGGTCTGTATAACTTTGAATTGACATCCACAAGTTTAGGCCTCACAGGGTGGATGTATCACGCCGTAGCCAAATGCTTGTACAACTTTTTCAGCTTTCAGCGAGCACAGTAAACTTCCTTGAAGGTTTCTTCTCGAATGTAGGTTCGGAAGGGTCATAACTGCCTTGTTGAGGAGGAGGACCTGTTAATATCTTTGGGTATTTGGACGGGGAGCTTGGGTTTTGGGATACAAATTTGTTTTATAGCTTGGCGATGGAGCTACGAAATTTTGAGGGGAATTTTGGTACAATGGATCTTACACTTGATAAATCGGAGGTGGTGCTCGGTGGCTCGACTGCACGTTAGCACAGTTGGGAGC